AAAAGGAAATATTTCACTTTCGGAGACAAGAAAAATAGGTTTGTGTTACGCTTATTAATTTGTGCAGTTATTTAGTGTCTGGTAAGTTAATGTTCAAGAAAAATATTTTTTATTAAAATGTTCTATTATTTTATGTAAATGATTACTCATTTATTTCAGCCATTTGTATTCAGCATGTCTCTATCGAAATAAACCTACGTTTCTATGAATATTAAAGCTTTTCTTTTTTTGCAGCCCACATAAACTTAAAATTTGTTTATTTGGCTTGCGTTAGCCTTTGAGTTTGACATGCTTGCTCTAGCTAGTACTGTGAGGAAAATATCAGAAAAATAACAGAAAATTAAGCCCTTGGTAATAAGAACTTTCACAACACAATAGACCAGTGGTTCTCAACCTTGGCTGCACATTAGAATCACCTGGGAATCTTTTTAAAATCCTGATTTCTGAACCTCTGCCTATGGAAATTCTGTTTCTTTGTTATGGGGTGGGGGCCACAACATTAGCAACAAAGAAACAGAATTTCTGGAGGATGAGGCCCAGAAATCAGGATTTTAAAAAGATTCCCAGGTGATTCTAATGTGCAGCCAAGGTTGAGAACTACTGCAATAGACAGAACCTAATGTCACTATTTACCTCCATGCCTACACCTGAATCCCAAATATAAGCTAGACACTGTTCTACTCCCCCAAAATTATTTAAGAAAGATATTCTGATTAACTGTATTCATAAAAAGTAAATTATATTCCCATAAGTGCATGGAATTTCACTTTATTTTTGTATTGTACTTATTATAGCAATTCTTTATTATTAATATGTTCAAATCAATATATTTACATTTTTATAAACACTAGAATGTTGACATACAGGCAAAAGTGTGAATTGGTAAAAGTCTAGTTTCTCAGGTCAAATACATCTGTCTCCAAGTCATGGTGCTTCAATTTACTAATTGTGTTATAAATCTCTGTTTTTGTTTGTGTAAAAAGGAGCTAACAGAACTTTTCATGGTTATAATTAAGGTTATGTAGGATAATTCTAGCAAAGCAACGTACCTAGCACACAGAC